TGGGTGCAGGTGGGTGTGGTGGGTGCAGGTGGGTGTGGTGGGTGCAGGTGGGTTTGTGCTGGCACTGCAGACCACCTGGCCAGGCACACAGACCCGTCACTGGCTGGCAGGACACCCCAGCCTCTGTCCTTCCCTCCCCCTGGCCTGTCTGCTAACCGTGCCCCTTCCCCCCCAGTCATCTACAAAACCAGCCTGCTGCACCTGCAGCCACGGCAGATGACCATCTATCTCCCAGAGGTCCGGAAGATCTCCATGGACTACATAAACCTGCCCGTCTTCAACCCCAATGTTTTCAGTGAGGACGAAGATGACTTACCAGGTGTGTGTCTGATGGCTGTAGAAGGGGGCCGTGGCGGTGGGGAGGGCCACAGTGGTGGGGGGGCATAGAGGTGGGGAGACCATGGTGGTGGGGAGTATGATGGGGGCCGACATCAGCAGTGGTGGGGGGACCATGAAGTGGGGACACAGTGGAGGGGGGGCCACAGTGACAGTGATGGAAGACCATGGTGGTGGAGGGGACACAGCAGGAGGTAACACAGTGGCAGTGGTGGGGACCATGTTAGTGGGGGGATACAACATTGGGGGACCAAGGCAGTGGGAGGACCATGTTAGTGGGGTGACATGGCGGTTATCATCAGGGCCAAGGTGGCGGGGGGAGACCTTAAAAGGAGGACCATAGCAGTGGTTCTAGGGGTCATGGAGGTTGGGGGGGGGGGTGCTGTGGCAGTGCTGTTAGGGGGCTATGGCTATAACGTTGAAGGGCATGGTAGGGGGATTATGATGGTGGTATTGGGGGGCTGTGGCAGTGGTGTTGGGGGTTGTGGTAGTGTTGGGAGGCTGTGTGGGAGGGCATGCTGGTGGCGTTGGGGTGTCCATCGTGGTGGTGAGAGTCATGTCAGTGATGAAGCCCATGGTGGTGGGTACAGGGGGGTCCTGGCCACAGTGAAGAAAGGATTAAAGTCCCCTGACGTTGGGCCATGTGGCCACAGGTCCCTGGAGATAGCTTATATACTGTCCTGGGCCTGAGGAGGCGAGAAGCCCCGGCACATGGACAGCTAGGAGGGCAGGGATGCCTGGTCTCTATACAAAGAGCTCTCTGAGCTCATGTTGCCCACTCGGTCCTTCTCTTTGTTTTGTGAGGGATCAAAGTTGGTCAAAGGAACCTTATTTTGCTTAACAAAACCCCTTACACTAACTGACCCTGATTCTATTGTGACAGAAGCCCCCCAGGACTGAGTAGACCCACCCCCGAGGGCCCCCGAGGCTGTGATTTCCCTGGGAGCTCACCACCTCCCCTCTCTCCTCAGGTGGATTTGAACTGCCGGTCTTTTGGTTATCAGCCCAAGGCTTGATCCATTGCACCGCTAGGGCTCCTTACCAGGACCACAGTGAGCAAACAAACAACAAAACCAAAACCCACTGCCATCAATTTGACTCCAACCCGCCCTCAAGTTCCGAGGCTGTAAATCTTCGTGGGCAGAGACTGTCCATCTGTCCCTCCAGGAGCCTCTCTGCTGGTCTTCAGTTAGCGGCCCTGCACAGTGCAGCCAAGTCACCAGGGCTCCTTCCCAGGCGCCATTGGGAGGGAACTGACTCAGGACGGACCCTTCGTGAGGTTTTCCGAGGCTGTAAATCACACTGGAGGAGATCGCCCCCCTCACTCCTGTGAACGCCTGGTGGATTTGCCCTGGCAGAAGCACGGCCTTGGGGTCAACAGTGCAGCGCCCTACGCAGTATGCCACCAGAGCTCCTAGTCACAGATCTGTGATGGACCTCCAAGTCAGAACCGACTCAGAGCTGACCCGCCAGCGGGTTGGCAAAAGCCTGCAAATCACGTGGAAGGAGATTGCCTCTCTTTCTCCTGAGGACCAGCTGTGGATTCGAACCACATTCCTTTGGGTTGGCAGCACAATTCCTTACCTCAAAGCTACCAGAGCTCATAACAGAACTAGTGTGGACTAAACATACTCAGAACTAGCTCCCAGGCCCACTGACCCTGCCCTCGTCCTCATCTTCTGGGCAAAGCATCTGTGGAGGCCAGAGAGGAATCCCCTGGTGGTACAAACAGCTAGTGTGCTGGGCTCACAGCATCCTTCTGGTGTGGGGGAGGCCGGGGGGCCGGTCCACCCAGAGGCTTCTTGGAAGGCAGGCTTGGCAGGCTGCTCTGAGAACAGCGAGTGGCAGCCCCATGAGCCCTGGGGCCGCCATGGTGCAGAATCCACTCCTCAGATACGGTGGTCAGTGCCTGGGAGCCCAGTTCCCCACCCCCGCCCCTTCCCGAGGACGCACACACCTTCACAGGTGAGCGCCCCTCCTCCACCGGGCAGCTTGCCTCGCTGAGCTCAGGTCGGGGGAAGAAATCTGCTAAAAATGTTTGCAATTCCAGCCAAAAGACTTTTCAAGTCTCTGCAGCATCTTCAAGTGTTTTCTATTGGGGTGCTATTTTAATTACTAGATGAGGCTCATTTGTAATTACTCTGCCAATTAGTCTCAGTGCTGGAGGATGCTTGGGAAAGCATTTGCTTTTCTAAGTAATCATCGGCCTGCAGACTTCTAGATGCAGAGACTCTGGTGGTGACAGCTGGACGAGGTCCTCACAGCCCCGGCTTCTCCGACAAGCTCGTCCTCAAGTGAACTTGCTCTCTGTTCCTCCCTCGGTCTCTCAGCTTGGGGTGCAGGAATTACTCCTCCCCGCCTGGGCTTCTTACCTCTAGTGTTACTTGGGCTGCCCTGTCCAGAGTGGAGAACTGCTGGTCCAGGAGTTACGCACTTAGCTCCTAACCAGGAGGTCAGTGGTTCAAACCCACCAGCCACTCTACAGGAGAAAGATGTGGCATTTGTCTCCTGTAGAGATTACAGCCTTGGGGAGCCCTGCGGGGCAGTTCTGCTTTGTGAGGTGGACTTGCTGACAAGAGAGTCCTTTTGGAGAGGTGGGCTTCTTTCCAGCAGAAATGGATGGTCTTTGGTTCTGCTGGACTGTCTCTCTTGGGGACAGATGAATGCAGTCGCTGTGATCAGAACACATCAGCCACGTTGGCACCCACAGTGCTTCTGGCCCATCAGATTGCAGGTCCTGGGTGTAGGCGACACATCCCAGCTCTCCCTACCCTTTAGCCTCTGCGGCTGTCATTCTCCTGACAGTGATCCCAGTGACAGGGAGCTTCCGGTCTTTGTTGATGGTCTGCTCTCCCTGTCGGGAGGAGGAAGCCTGCTGCTGGTGTTGCATGCAGACGAGGGGACCTCCTATCCGGGCTGATCGGGAGAGGCAGAGAACTCCAGGCCCAGCTGTTCCGCTCACTGTCACACTGGTTGGTCCAGGCACTGGAGGACCAGGGAGGGGAGGAGGGGGCAGTTACAGGCTGCCAGACATGAGGTCATTCCCTGGCGCTCAGTCAGCCACAGACTCGTGCTGGCCCCTGCCCAGATCTGCCCCATCCCCATAATAACTACAGATCAGACCCTCATGGTCCATAGGGGTTTCATGGGCTGGATTTTGGAAGTGGATCTCCAGTCTTTTCTCTCTAGTCTCTCTTCATCTCGGAGCTCCCTCCCAGCACACAGGCCCCACAGACAGATAGATAGTGGTTGCTTGTGAGACACTGGTAGGAACCAGGCCACCCGCTCAGAAGTCTATCACAAAAGCACCGACTGTGATAAATTCTCTGACCCGCTCTGTGGTTCTTCTTACAGAAGGCCAGCCAGCCTTTATGTTAGACTGTTCAGTCATAGTCCTGGTCTCCTATCGGCAGCCCTTATTAACTCCACTCCTGAGACTGCTGGGGGAGGCGGGACGGCCTGAAGGCGTGAACTCTCCCAAGAGCTAGAGGGGCAGTTTATGGAGCACAGGACGTGGGGTTGCCCTGGGGCCCGAAGGGATCTGTGGACACTTACTCATCTGTTCCATCCCACTGGGCACAGGTGTTATCCAGGTAGTTCTGCCATTCCTACCCTTTCAAATGCTAACAGGCAGATGAATTAGGAAGCGATCCTTCACTCAGAATGCAGACTTGCTATAAGCCAAGCCCAAACTCATCCTTACTGGTTCTGACTCGGCAGCCCCGGGCTTCCTGGGTGATAGTGAATAGACTGCCACACCTTCAGCCCTCAGAGCAGCTGGTGGGTTTGCACTGTCTCCCTTTTAGCAGACAAGTTTAACCATTGTGTTGCTTAGATTTGCTATGCTGGCTTTTTGTGGAGTGCCATTGACTTGAGTATGACTTACAGCAACCGTAATAACTCTGTGGACAGCAGGTCTGAACACGATCCTGTCCTGTGCCATCCCACAGTCTGTGAGATGAAGCGTCACCACCTTTGCCCTCGGGAAGCCCTGGTGGCGCTTAAGCCAGACTTGTTTGTTCTTTTTGGCTCTCCATGGGATGCGCAGTGCTCTTCTCCAACACCACGACTCAAAGGCGTCAGTTCTTCTGTCATCCTAATCCATTGTCCTGTGGATTTGCCAGAGAACAGTTTACAGCAGGTTGCTCCTTGGAAGCAAAGGTGATAAAGTTCCATTTCACATACTTCGGGCACGTTGCTAGAAGAAGCTGTTCTTGGAGAGAGATGTTACACGTGGAAAGGCGGAGCGTCGGTGAAGGAATGGAAGACCCTCCACCACGTGGGTTGTCACAGTGACTGCAGCAGTGGGCTCGAGTGTGTCAGATGATGAGGATGGCCCGGGACAGGATAGATTCAGACCTGTTGTTCATAGGGTCGCTGTGAGTGGTAATTGACTCAACAGCACCTAACAATGTTGTTTTAGTTAGATGCCATTGAGTCGGCTGTGACTCATAATGACCCTGTGAGCAACAGATCTGAATCTTCCCTGTCTACAGCCAGTCTCACTGTCTCTGACACACTTGCCCCCATTGCCACAGTCACCTTTGAGTGCTGTGTGTGTGAGGAGGACCTGGAATGTGCACCTGTTGTTAGGTACCATCTGTGTGGACCTGGCCTGAAGTGTGCATATGTTGTTCGGTGCTCTGTGTGTGAAGAGGACCCAGGGTGTGCACCTGCTGTTAGGTACCATTTGTGTGGACCTAACCTGAGGTGTGCATCTGTTGTTAGGTGCTGTGTATGTGAACGTGACCTGGGGTGTGCATCTGTTGTTAGAGACTGTCTGTGTGCACCTGATGAGGTGTGCATCTCACCTGGGGTGTGCCCCTGTTGTTAGATACCGTCTGTGTGGACCTGATAAGGTGTGCACCTGACCTGGGGTGTGCATTTGTTGTTGGAGACTGTGTGGACCTGATGAGTGCACCTGACCTGAGGTGTGCATCTGTTGTTAGATACCGTCTGTGTGGACCTGATGAGGTGTGCACCTGTTGTTAGGTGCCCTCGAGTCAGCTCTGACTCCCAGCGACCCCAGATACAACAGAACAGAATTCGGTGTCACCCTCACAATGTCTGCTGTCGGCCCATCTTGTCCGTCACTCCATCCATCCTCTCTTTTGTTGACCCTGTGTTTCACAGAGTGCGATGTCCTCCTGGGACAAGCACCTGATTACATGCCCAGAGTTCACGAGATGAACTTTGACCATCTTCACCTCTGAAGACACTCTGGCTGCACAAGATAGATTGTTAATGCTCTGGGCAGAGTCAGTACTCTTTTCAGCACCACAATTCCAAGGCAGTGATTCTTCTGTCTTCCTTACTCGTTGTCCATCTTTCACATGCATATTGAAAGCAATTGAAAAGAATATAGCTTGAGTCTGGCACCCGTTAGTCTTTAAACTGACATCCTTACTCTTTATTACCTAAAAAGAGATCCTTGGTTTTAGCTTTCCCTAATACAGTAATACATCATTTGATTTAATAACCGCGGCTACCCTGGAAAAGGTACGACCAGCGTGTTCCGCGATGCAAGCGTGGAGAGCTCCGTATCTCATATTTTGGATATATTGCTGGGAGAGGCTTCTCCTTGGAGACGGACATCGTGCTCAGCAACGTGGAGGGTCGCCAAAAGAGAGGAGGACCCTCGACGAGGTAGATTGACCCAGTGACTGCAGCAGTGGGCACAGGTGTATCAGAGATGATGCGGACGGCACAGACAGGACAAGGTTCAGATCTGTTGCTCACAGGGCTGCTCTGAGTCGTACTTGATTCGATGACATAATAACAGCAATGACCTTGGGTGTTGATTGTGGATCCCAGTGGGATGGAATCCCTTTTTTCCCATTGACTGTGACACTGTTTATTGGAAGGTGTTGCTTTCTTTGTGCTGATGTGGGATCAGTACAGAAGCACACACAGGTGCCTGGCAAGGTCCGTGGGGGCACAGAAGATTCTGGAACATGCACTCCATCTCCACACCCCTGCAGATCCCCTGCCTGGGACTGGAATCCACTCACAGCTCAGAGCCTCTGCTCTAAGCCTTTCTGTCTGGTTTCCTTCCAGTGACTGGAGCATCAGGAGTCCCTGAGAGCAACCCTCCCTGCACCGTGAATATCCCCATCGCCCCCATCCACAGCTCGGCCCAGGCCATGTCCCCGACTCAGAGCATCGGACTGGTGCAGTCCCTGCTGGCCAACCAGAATGTGCAACTGGACGTGCTGACCAACCAAACCACAGCCCCGGGGCCCGCCGAGCACCCTGGCGACACGCCTGCCCCGTACCCAGCCCCCAACCGCTACCCCAACCCCGGGCAGGTGATCTTCGGGGGTGTAGAGACGGGGCGCATGGTCCAGAACCCACCTCCACCCCCGCTGACCCTGCCACCACCCCCGCCCGGGCCCCTGCCACTGTCACTGATGGACCACGGGGACCGTGACCATGAGCACCTGCAGAAGCCCCCCAAGACCCTGCGGCCGGTGCCCCCAATGACCACAGAGGGGGAGGCAGCAGTCTTCAGTGGCCCCCAGGAGCTCCCCGTGAGTAAGATGAACCCCCCGCCCCCCTACCCGGGCACCATCCCAGCTGCCCCCACCACAGCCGCCCCACCGCCCCCGCTGCCACCCCCGCAGCCGCCCATCGACGTGTGCCTCAAGAAGGGAGACTTCTCTCTCTACCCGACGGCCGCCCACTACCAGACCCCCCTGGGCTACGAGCGCATCACCACCTTCGACAGCAGCGGCAACGTGGAGGAGGTGTGCCGGCCCCGCTCGCGGCTGCTCTGTGCCCAGAACACCTACACGCTCCCCGGGCCGGGCAGCTCGGCCACGCTGCGCCTCACGGCCACCGAGAAGAAGGTCCCGCAGCCCTGCACCAGCGCCACCCTGAACCGGCTGACCGCCCCACGCTACTCCATCCCCCCGGGGGACCCACCGCCATACCCCGAAATCGCCAGCCAGCTGGCCCGGGGCTCGGCCCAGAGGCCGGACAGCAGCCTCATCCACGCCACGCTGCGCAGGAACAACCGCGAGGCTGCCCTCAAGATGGTCCAGCTGGCCGACCACCAGCGGGCCACGCTGCAGCACCCACCCAAGGCCAAGGGCAGTGCCATGGCACCCCCGTTCCCCACTCGGCCCCCACCGGCCCTCTACACCTGCATGCAGTGCAGTGGGGGCGGCCCCGGCGGGGGCACAGGGCCGGGGGGTGCCGTGGCAGGCCTGGGGGGTGGCCTCGCCGGCGGCCTCGCAAGCAGTGGGGGCCGGCCGGACCCCAGCATGGGTGCCCAGCCGGGCCCAGCCCTGATGCACTCAGCCAGCACGTCCCCCCTGACGTCACAGTCCTCCTACAACCTCCTGAGCCCCCAAGACAGCGCCCGGGACCGCACGGACTACGTCAACTCGGCCTTCACGGAGGACGAGGCGCTGGCCCCACACTGTCTGGCCGAGAGGCCGCTGCGGCACCCCCCGCTGGCCGACTCTGCTGTCGCCACGGTGAAGCGGCCACCCCCTTACCAGTGGGACCCTGTGCTGGGCGAAGACGTGTGGGTCCCCCAGGAAAGGACAGCCCAGGCTCCGGTGCCCAACCCCCTGAAGCTGTCCCCACTGCTGATGGGCCAGCGCCAGCACCTGGACGTGTCCCGTGGGCCCTTCATTCCCCCCAAGTCACCAGTCAGCCCCACTGCCACCTTCCAGACAGGCTACAGTGTGGGGGTGCCCTATGCTGGGGGCTACAGCAACCCCCCAATGCAGGGGCTGCCCGCACCCTGCTCCCCCAAGGACGCCCTGGCCCCACCCCCGTTCCCCCAGCAGGAGCCTGCCTACCCGCCTAGCCTCTCCTACTGCGCCCTTCCACCCACCTACCCTGGAGGCAGTGCCTGCACCGGCTTGCAGCTGCCACCCCTCGCCTTGCACCCCTGGAACGCATACGGCACGTGCCCCCCGGTGCCGAACCCTCCAGGCACACTGCCCCCCAAGCCACACCTGGTGGTGGAGAAGCCCCTGGTGTCATCTCCGCCTGCTGACCTGCAGAGCCACGTGGGCACCGAGGTGGTGGAGACGGCCGACACCTTCCAGGAGGTGCTGTCCCTGACGGAGAGCCCCGTCCCCCAGCGCACCGAGAAGTTTGGGAAGAAGAGCCGGAAGCGCCTGGACAGCCGGGCCGAGGAGGGCAGCGTGCAGGCCATCACCGAGGGCAAGGTGAAGAAGGAGGCCAGAGCGCTGAGCGACTTCAACTCCCTCATCGCCAGCCCGCGCCTGGGCCGTGAGAAGAAGAAGGTCAAGGGCCAGAAGGACCAGCTCAAGTCCAAGAAGCTCAGCAAGACCGCCGAGTTCCAGGACAGCTCGGAGAGCGAGCCCGAGCTGTTCATCAGCGGCGACGAACTCATGAACCAGGGCGCCAAGAAGGGCTGGCAGAGCAAGCGCAGCTCCCGCACGGCCGGCGAGCTGGAGGGCTTCAAGTGCCGCAAGGCCAGCGAGCGGGACGAGGGCCGCCTGGGTAGCCAGGGCTTCGTCTATGTCATGGCCAACAAGCAGCCGCTCTGGAACGAGGCCACGCAAGTGTACCAGCTGGACTTCGGGGGCCGCGTGACCCAGGAGTCGGCCAAGAACTTCCAGATCGAGCTGGAGGGGCGGCAGGTAAGGGGCCCGACGCAGCTGCCTCATCCTGAGGGTTGCTGGGGAGGGGGGGAGGCTGACGGGGTGCTGTTCTCTGGGTGCCCAAGACCAGGGGGGAAACGTGGGAACCTGGGATCCCTGAGGGGCGCGTGCTGAGCTAAGAGTGTCCATTCAGAATGTTTATTCCTTTTGACTCAAAGGAGAGTATGGGCTCACCTTTCGGAGTCTGGTCACTCCACGAAACCCCCACTCTTCTGGGCAGGTGTTTGCCTGGTTCAGACACTGGCCACCCTGTCTACACAAACCACGTTTTCCCTTCTCTGTGCCGATGGCTTTGGTCATCATAGAGAGCCTCCAGCCCAAGGATAATGTCACCGCCCGCTCCTTCCCTCACCCACCTACACACGTGTGACAGCGTGCTCCGTCAGGGCCTCCTTCCCCTGTAGATGCACATGACTTGTCCTCCGCCCGCTTCTCCTCCCTCACCCACCTACATGCACATGACCGTGGCCTCCACCAGTTCCTGTGCCCCCTGTACATGCACATGACGTGTCCACCGCCCGCTCCTCCATCACACATGCTGGTGTCCATCACCCTCTCCTCCGTCCACTCACACACCTACACATGGCTGTGTCCCCCACCAGCTTCTCTGTACACACATGATGGTGTCCACCCCCTGCTCCTCCTTCCCTCACAAATCTACACGCGTGACCGTGTCCTCCGCCCATTCCTCTGTCCTCTGTACATGCACATGACATGTCTACCCCCCACTCCTTTGTCCTCCGCCAGCTCCTCTGTCCCCTGTACACACATGTGATGATGCCCACCGCCTGCTCCTCTCTCCTCTTTCTTTTTTTTTTTTTTTTATTTGTGTGTGTGTGTGTACCGTCGAATCAGATCTGACAGGTCCAGGAGGAGATTGTCCTCCTTCTGCAGCAGAGTATCTGGTGGATTTGAACTGCTCACCTCTGGAATTGCAGTGCAGCTTCTTGCCACTAGGCCACCAGAGCTTGCCCTCTCTCCCCTTTCACACATACATGCACAAACGTGCCCTTCCTCCACCCCAAGTCTTCAGTAATCATTACAGCCTCTTGCCAGCAAAGCCAACCCACAGCTGAGCTGTGCGCTGTGGGGTGGAGATGTTTGTGTCCTTATAGAGAGGCTTCCTTTTCATCTAGCAAGTGCCATGCTGTGTCGTCAATATGCTTGTTTCTCTGTGGCCATGAAGTCACCACCCGGTCCACGCGCTGTGCCTCTCCCAGGGACAACCCAGCACACTGGGGCCACCGCCAACTCCCTGGGCTCCAGGCCTGGCCTGGTGGCTCTGGCCCGGCACTCCCTTTCTCACCCCTGGGAATTCCTTTCACGTTACTCATATTTAAGCCCTGTTGTGGTTGTTATCTGTAATCAAGTCAGATCCGATTGATAATCGGTCCTCCAGTGGGTTTCCAAGAGGCTATAAGTCACACAGGAAGAGACTGCCCATCTTTCTTCCTGAGAGCAGTTGTTGGATTTGAACCGCTGGCCTTTGTGTTGGCAACACAGCTCCTTACTTACTAGGCCACCAGAGCTTCCTATTTAAGCTCATTCATCCCATCTACAAATGTCCCTGAGCACCTGCTGCCTGCCCAGCAGTGCCCTGAGCTGGGTCCTGCAGACAGCGATCATTGGCACACAGGCTTGTGACTGTAAAGCCTAGTGGTCCGGTGGCAGTGCTGACCGATGTGGCGGAGGCCCCTGGCCCAGACCCTAAGGCATCTTGTCATTGCCCTCTGTGGAGAGCCTGCGCTCTGTGCAGAGTCCTTCACCTGGGGGTGAAGTCACAGCGGGCTGGCCAGCAGCCTCTGCCCTCACAGAGCTCACCTCTTAGCGGGAGCAGACCCAGGCACGTGGACATGCAGTACTGTGTGTGCTGGAGTCATGTGGCTAGGTGGTGACCATGCAGGGATGGAGACAGGTGGTGTGCCGGGGGACCAGGCACCTTGGTGGCTCTGACATGGACCTTGGCTGGCCCTTCCTGAGTCTAAGCTTGGAGGTGAAGTCTCCCCATCCCTCTCTCTTCCTGGGAGGAAACCACCTCGTTTGAACTGTTGCAACGTCCACTTTGTGAATTCTCTCCCTTGTCTCCACATCATGCCTTTTAGCCTGTTCCTCTGTCCCCTTCATTTTAATACACCAAAAGTACAATATAGAAACGTCTGTCCACAAGGAAGTGTATCACCTGCTGGTCCCCACCTTCCTGTTGGCGTTAGGTGCCATCGAGTAAGACTCACAGTGACCCTGTGAACAACAGAGCCAAACCGCCCTAGCCCGTGCCGATCTCACTCTCTCTGACACACTTGAGCCCATTGCTGCGGTCACTGTGTCAGGCCATCTGATTGAGGGTCTTCCTCCCCCGCACAGTCCCTCCTCCTGTCCAAGGTTGGTGTCCCTCTCCAAGGACTAGCCTCTCCTAAACATGCCCAGTGGCGGGGTGAGATGAAGCCTCACCATCCTTGCCTCCCGGGAGCCCTCCGGCTGCGTCTTCAGCAGGCCATCCCCGCTTGTTCTCTGGCAGTCCTGGGGGTGGCTGTCCCGTGCTCTTCCCCAGCGCACCCTCCTGTGATCGCCTTTAACCCCGTCCTCTCTGCCTGTCCCCCAGGTGATGCAGTTCGGCAGGATTGATGGGAACGCCTACATCCTGGACTTCCAGTACCCCTTCTCAGCTGTGCAGGCCTTTGCAGTCGCCCTGGCCAATGTGACTCAGCGCCTCAAGTGACAGGCTGGTCCGAGGAGGACACAGCGGACCCGGAGTGGGCAGGTCTGCCCTCAGGTGCTGAGGCGTCCCGAGACCCGCGAGGCACTCACTGCGGGGCCACCAGAGGGCGCTAACTCCAGTCCCTGTCGCTTAGTCCAGCTTTCGTTGTCTTTATATTGGGTTTTTTAGGGGGAGAGGGTTCCCCCTCTTCTTTTCTTTGTTTTTCAACAACAAAAAAATGAAATACAGTAGGTTGACTTGAGGTAACAGCTGCAGAGAGTGTGCGTTCTTAACGTTGCTGGCAGAAGGGGCCCTGTAGGATGATGCCTGCCGCTCTTCCAGACCCCCTGAGGCTGTGTCCTCTTCCAGTCCTCACTTTCATGCTCCCCAACATCACCACTAGTGGGAAAACAAGAAACTCTCAAAACACAGCCGATAGTCCTGGCGCTCCAGGTTCTCCTGGGGCGGCCTCTGACCCCCATGTCTGTCAGAATTTGACCCCGTGCAGTCTTGTGAGTGAAGAGGTTTGGGAAATGCAGTGTGTTTGGGTAGAAAGTGTAGGCTTGTTGAGGGGTGCTGCTCCCGCAAGACCCAGATCATTAGAGCTGAAGTCCTCTGAGGGCTGTGCCCCTTTGCCCAGGACATTTGCAGGGGGAGATCACAGTGACCAATCAGACTGGGAGGAGGTGAAGACGCAGGTGGAGAAAGCCCAGTGCACGGAGGGCAGCCGCAGCCGCCCAGCCAGCACTGTGGAAGCCCGCCAGGAGCCCAGCTGCTGACAGACCACTGTGAATTCACCCCTTCTTTTCTTTCTATACCTGCAAAATGTCTACGGTAGACATTCCCTTTCCCTTTGAGAAATTACAAAGAGTCCTGACACCTCAGTGGTTAAGAATGCAATCGCTAAACACAACGTTGGCAGTTCAAACCCTCCAGCCAGAAAAAAAAAGATGAAGCAGCATGTTCCCGTAAAGGTCTAAGATGAAAGAAACAACAACAAACAAATCCCACCGACTCACTGCTGTTGAGTCAGAAGCGACCTGTCGCCTCAGTGGGTTTTCAGAGACTGTAGATCACATGGGCGGGGAGAGCACGTCTTCCTCCCACAAAGCTGCTGCTGGATGCGAACCACCTGCCTTTGGGTTGGCAGCACAGCTCATTACCCCCTAGGCCTCCAGACTTCTGAAGCCTTATAAATCCTACAAGCAGTCCTGCTTTGTCCTGGCCCCACACTTTCTAAAAATGTTGACCAGATGTGAATTGGGAAAATTCTCCTTTAACTTGGGCTACTTTAAAATTCAGTTGACTAGAAATATTCTCTGTGGGACTGCTAGTGCCTGTCCCTGAAGGAGTGGCGCAGGGGAGGAGGGCATTTTTCAAGGTATTAAAAGATGATAGTATGGTTCAAATTCCAGACGAAAGGTCCAGTCTTCTTTAAGGGAGAGAGAGAGATGATTGACGTGTACAGATGGACCACTGAATAAATAAACCACTAGAGGAAACGGAGAATGCTAGAACTGAAGGTCGTTGCCCAGCTTCTCCACCTTACTCATGGTTAACTAAGAAAGCCTTTTCCCAGCCCCTTCCCTTCCTCAGGAGGACGCTGCAGGCAGAATTCAAACCTTGTAACAAGACAATTTTCCTTTTTCTCAGTCACTCATGTCTGGGGCGTTGGCTAGGCCAGGACACAAGATTGTCCACTGGTTCTGAGTTCTGTATTCTGTTTACAGACAAGACACTTTAGCCATGTGCTGGGAAAGTGTTTTCCAAATAACATGTCTCGAAATCCCATTTTGGATTTTGAGCAAGACTAGTTATTTAAAATCATTAAATAAAAATTATTAAAAATTAAGGAATAAACTGGCCCCTTTGTTTTCCTGAAGCAGGTTGTGTTTGCCCAGTGTCTTTCCAGACCCTGATGAGATTTGTAAATATCATGAAGGCTCTTCGCCAGCAAACAATCTTCCCTTGTACGTTGAAAACCATTGAACCTGATTTGAGAGTGGGTTCTTTCTTCGAGAAAGAACTTAGCAATGTATTAGGAATGATTTGGTTCTTTTCTATGCTTTTCTGTACCTTGATATGGTGTTTCAATGATTATTATTAGTTGTGTAATGATGATTTCAGCCTATTTGAAAAATAATTTCAATGCAATCATTGTCGGAGATAATTATTTTCCTTTGCTTTGAGTAAGATTTTTAGGGATTATTTTGTTACTCTGTATTGGTGAGTTATACCCATTTTATTATTTAGGAAACTGGCATCTTTGTAATAATACTTGGTAGCAGTATGCTTTGCTGCAAGAAATAAAGAGGATGTGGATAGAAAGTTTACTGCTGGACAATTTGTAGTGTTTCTCATTGAGAAATTCTTGGAAAGCATAACCCCCCCCCAAAAAAATTATTACCCCTTCTTTTGAACATGTTCTTTTCCTTTCAAACCACAGGTAACAAGAGGAGAGTAAGGAAGGAGGGAATCCTGTTAGACAGTGAGTGGTGAAGGAAGGCACTATGGAGTGCTTTATTTCGGTTGTTCTGATAGTTTTTAATAAAGACCATGAAAAGGTGCATTTTAGAACTTCTCTTCCTACAAGCAAAACTGGGAATCCGTTCCTATAGGAAGCAAAACTACGTAAATATTTGTAGCTAATCATTGACTAAACTCACTGAATTCTTTTTTTCATGTGTTTTGTTGTTTTGTTTCCATTTGCCACCATCTTAAGGAGCTCTGATGACTCTACTGTGAACCAGAAGGTTTTGGTTCAAATCCCTCAGTTGCTCTGTAGAAGAAAAGATCTGGCTGTCTGCTTCCGTAAAGGTCACAGCCCAGGGACCCCAAGGGGCAGTTCCCTGTCGTGTGGGGTCACTGGGTACATTGAAATCAACAGGACAGTACCCAAGTTGGAGGTACCCACCTCTGAGTTCTCAGCTCACCCTGAAAGATGCGTTCCCAGCTTGGAGACTAATAATGTCTTTCCATGGTTGATGTTGGGTGCTCAGCTTGGAGGCTAATGATGGCTTTCCATGGTTGATGTTGGGGAACCAGCCACAAGCCATGTCTCTGCTTCAAGGGACCTGAGGGAGAAATTATCACATTTGTCAGACGAGACTTAATGGATGTCTTTCACACTTACAAGGTGCTGTCTTCTAAGTCAGTGGGGGGAACTATACTTTTCTTTTTCTCCCCAAAAGAATATTGTTCATTTATCTGTTTATATGCATTTTTAGATTTATGCATCAAGTGCAAAAGGCCTTTTTGTTTGCTTGTTTGTTTGGCTGGTGTTTGGTAAAAGCATACAAAGCAAAGGATGAAAGTGCTTTTCAGTCATTCAGTCCAAGTATTACTAAAACCAGAAGTTTAAGCAGCAGGATTTCAACTACTTTATTCATTTGGTCCTTATTAAGATCCACTTATGACTGTGAATCCCAGATTTTAAAATGAGGAGTCGGGTAGAAGGTCTGGTGCACAATCCCATGACTTTCTTATTGAAGGGACTGGAGGATGATGGGACAGATAGGCAGGCTTCTCTTGATTTGTTGTATATGTTCATACAAAGGTGAAGCCAGGATGTGATGGTCACCAGGCTCGCCTTGTAAGCTGGCTGTTGTGAGCTGCTGTTTGAGTTGGTTCCAATGCACAGTGACCCACGTACAGCAGAAGAAAACGCAGCGTGATCCAGTGCCAGCTTCACCATCTCTGCCACCTTGAACCCTTGTTGCAGCTGCTGCGTGAATTCATCTCAAGGAGGGTCTTCCTCTTTCACTGATCCTCCACTTTACCAAGCATGATGTCTGTCTTCTGGGCCTGATCCCTTCTAGCAAATTCAGAGGGGTCGAACTTGCTCTGCATGTCTTAAGCTGAAGGAACTGAAGAACAAATTCAAGCCTCAAGTTGCATACTTAAGGATGCTTTGGGCAGAATATTTAATGATCCAGGAAGCATTAGAAGAAGAAGGAAAGTGTATACAGAGTCATTGTACCAGAAGTAATTGACGGATACAGAAGAATTTCATGAAACAACGTATGAGCAGGAGCCTGTGGTGATGAAGGAAGAAGTTGAAGTTGCTCTGAAAGAATTGGCAGAAAACAAGGCCCCAGGAATTGATGGCATACCAACTGACATATTTCAACAAACAGACGCTGCCCTGCATGTACTCACCAAGTTGTGTCAAGAAATCCAGAGTATAACCACCTGGCCAACTGACTGGAAGAGATTGATATTTGTTCCCATTCCAAAGAAAGGTAATCCGACAGAGTGCAGAAATTATTGAACAATAACACGTGCAAGCAAGATTCTGCTGAAGAGTATCCAAAAACAACTGGAACAGCACATCAAGAGAACTGCCAGATACGCAAGCTGGGATTAGAAGAGGCTGTGGTACTAGGGATATTAGAGCCAATGTTAGATGGATCTTGGCTGAAAGCAAGGAATACCAGAGGAATGTCTGTCTGTGTTTTATTGATTATGTAAAGATATTTGTGTGGATCATAACAAACTGTGGCTGACTCTGAGAAGAATGGGAATCCCAGAACACTTGATCATGTTAATGTGACACCTATGCTTGGACCAGGAGGCAGTCGTCAGAACAGAGCAGGGAAACACTGCATGGTTCAAAACTGGGAAGAGTGTACACCAGGGATGTGTCCTGTCTCTAAATGGTATGGCACCTTTTCAATCAATATGCAGAACAGATTATCTGGGAGTCTGGGCTCTATGAGGATAAATGTGGCATCAGGATTGGAGGTAGACTCATCAACAGCCTGCGTTAATGCAGATGACACAACCCTGCTTGCTAAAACTGAGGAGGACCTGAAGCGCTTGCTGCAGAAGGTCAAGGGCTGCAGCCTTCAATATGGATTGTAGCTCAGTATCAAGAAAACAAAGATTCTCACCATTGGGCCTGTTGGCAGCATCATGATAGATGGTGAAGAGATTGAGATTGTTGACAGCTTCAGTTTTCTTAGCTCCAAAGTCAACACTCTTGGTACCAGCAGCCAGGAAATTAAATGATAAATTGCACT